CTCCTCTCAGCCCACTCCAGAGGTGGACCCCCAGACCATCCTCAAAGCTCTCTTCAAGTCCACTACACAGTCGACCTCCACCACTGAGCCTCCCAGCTCACAGGCCACTGCCTTTCGCATCAAGATATAGCCCACGTCTAAAGTGAAAACTGTCTGTTCATGTTAGTGCATTCTCAGTGTTCTCATTTCAAACTGTGGTGTTCACTCACATTGACAGCAGCCAGCACACATTCTCATGAAACTAATTTTTACACATTTGATATACATGACTCCTGTGAACGTGAAATTCATCATTCATGCATCCTTGTTTGGGTTTTATCAAAAGTCACCTGTTGGTTTTGGAAACGGAGCGGGGGGAAGTTTCATATGATCTTTTAATCCGATGTAGAGGTGGAGGAGGGGTAGTACCAAATTTAATTGCAATGGGTGTTTGGGTTTTTTTTGTTTTTGTTTTTTTTTTGTATATTAAGTGACAGTTTGATTTAGTTTAATATATATCCCGTCATTGCCGCTTGCCTCCAACTTCCAAAAGAGTAGGAGTTAAAAAAAAAACAACCCAGCCCAAACCCTTTGACTAATTGAGGACTGTGTGGTAGTGTTATTCTTGAGAGTTATGTAATATTTAAGGCTGAATATTCATGCAGGTGTGTTCATTTATCTTACCTGTGCTTCCCTTTGGGTTTAATGAGTGTATAATGCATTGGGGGGAAAATATATACAGACAAAACAAAAAACCAAACGTCTGTCACGTCTGTTTTATTAGGAAGGACAGTTTGGTTAAAATGTGGGAAGATGATTTAAATTGAGCCCAAAGTGATGCCAAAATAACTGAAAATACCTGCAAATCGGGGACTGGCGTAAGCTACATAATACCATAATAACTTCAGTAAGCTAGCTCTGAAACGGATATGTCAGTTTATTTAGTTTTAACATTCTTGTGGCATCCAGACTCGTATGCTCCGTGACTGGTTTTTGCTTGATGGTCAACATGTTTAATTCTTTCTATTATTACTCCTGATTTGTGTTGAAAGACTGTAATTTACGTTCTACTGCATTCTTGGTATGTAATGCAAGACGAGACAAAGTGGTAGGATGTGTCTGAAATGTCACCATTAAATATTTAGCTTTGTAGATGATGTCTGAGACTCTTTGCTTTTCATATCATGATCTCTTTGTTGATTTATGTATCTGTGCTGTTAGGCTTTCTAAAAACAGTTCTGGACTTGTGAATGATTTACAAGTCTGGTGCTGAACCTTTAGCCGTCTTTGTTTCAGTTTTACTTCATAAATACACATCTACAAGTAAAACCAACAACCAAACTATTAAAAAGGAGGGATTCATTCCAGTTGTTGAAATTGGTTTGAGGGAAGCAAAACCATGGAGGCTTGTTTCTTTAATCATTAAATCAAGCTCAAATTTTCAAAATACCAACTCAAACTTCTGAGAAAATAACTTAAGTAATTAGTTATTTTGTTGAAATTTTGATATAAAAATTCATCTTCCATTTAAAAAAACATCTAAATTTAAAACCCTGGAACAGGCTGGTGAAAAAAGTTATATGACAACATAAACGATAAATGATCCTCAGAGGTCGAGGCTAAATTTGACCATTGAATTCATTTTTTAAGGTAGGCTGTAATACAAACTAAAAACTAAATGTGTGGGTTTAAAGCAAACACAGAAACTGCTTAGCAGAAAATCTGGGGAGGGGAACGGTACCAAACGGGAATTCAGTTGTACTTCCGGCGTGAAAGGTCACACCAAAATGGCGCCGTCCAAGAAGAAACACGCCAAGAATCAGGCTTCTGTTATTCCTGGAGGATTTACGGGTATTTCTAATTATTACGCCGTTTTTTCTGTACCGCTTTGTCCTCGTAGATAAATGTTTGTGTTACGTAACCCGGCTGGTGTGTGTATGAGTTTGTGCTGATCTGTAGTCTGCCATGTCGACAGGGTGATAGCAGACGCTGATGTGTTGTTTTTTCCCGTCTCTCCTCGCAGTGTTGTCCTTACAGCTCAGCTCCGATAGCGCCGCCAGGCACTCGCTGTACGTGAAGGAGCACCGGGTGCGAGCGGAGAAGAGTTCCCACAGACCGCTGGACCGGACTTTATTCGTGCTAAACATCCCTCCATACTGCTCAGAGGTAGCGCGCCTGCCTGGCTGCTCTGTGTGGTTTGTTTGTCCTTCATATAAACAGTAACTACTGCACACTGCCTTTCCTCTCACTGTTTGTGTATGTGTGTGTTACAGGATGTTGTCAAAGATTTATTCTCGCAGTTTGGCAGCATTCAGTCAGTTGAGCTGAAAGACCACCCGGGGTCCTCCCAGGAGGCTGGACCCAAACTGTCCAAGTTCTTCAAACCAGCTGAAAAACAGGTTGACCTGTGTTCCTGCGCAGTTGCTCGTTTGTTTATGTATGTTTTGTAGATTTCAGTTTCACGTTATGTGTCTCTGTCTGTTTCAGGGCTTCAAAGTTGGCTATGTTGTATTTCAAAACGCCTCCAGTTTACCAGCAGTTAAATCACACCCACATGATGTGCCTTTGGTGGTCTGCACAGAGCAGCGCCCAGTCAAAACAGGACTGCAGAGTAAGTAGGCTGTTGCTAAAGTGACACAGTTTAATGTATGAGGCTTAAATGGTAAATGGTAAATGGCCTGTATTTATATAGCGCTTTATTAGTCCCTAAGGACTCCAAAGCGCTTTACATATCCAGTCATCCACCCATTCACACACTGGTGATGGCAAGCCACATTGTAGCCACAGCCACCCTGGGGCGCACTGACAGAGGCAAGGCTGCCGGACACTGGCGCCACCGGGCCCTCTGACCACCACCAGTAGGCAACGGGTGAAGTGTCTTGCCCAAGGACACAACGGCCGAGACTGTCCAATCCGGGGCTCGAGGCTTAAATAAAACCAAACGAGACATAAAACCGCCCCAAACACAGTGGATGGCTACAAAGAAATACGAAATATAACCAAAGAAGCAAAAGTATCTGCAAAAGATGTGTTCAAAAGTGTCATAAAATACTCAGAGATTTAGCTACAGAGAGTCACTAATAATAAAATGTGACACAAATGACCAAAAATAAGTGTGAATAAGCTTACGAGTGAAAAATCTGTTATAAAGACGCCAAAAGTCAAGCTTAACGTAAATACAGTGGCTACAAATCGATGCCAAATGGGACATAAAGTGACCTAAGAATGAGAAGAAATGATGCAGAACATCTGGAATCATCTGTAACAAATGAGGTGTATGACACGTGTGTTGTATTTTCTTTATGGCAGAGTGGATCCAGCAGTACACAGACTCCTTTATCCAACCGGAGCAGCTGCAACAAAAAGTCGACTCTTTTATGGAAGACTACGATAAGCGTAAAGAAGAGGTGAGAACTCTGTCGCTGTTCCTTCAGCACCGCTGACACGTCCGCTCCGCGTAGCTTCAACGTGGGTTTGATGTTTTGTCCACAGGAAGCGGAGCGGCAGAAGAAGGAGGCCGAGGAGGAGCAAGAAGATGAAGAGGGCTGGGTGAAAGTCACGAGAGGGCACAAGGGTGCCAAGGCGCGTCCTCACAGCGAAGCAGCCAATCAGAGGACTCTACAGAGGGAGATAACGAAGAAGAAGAGGAAGGAGCTCTTGAACTTCTACACCTGGCAGCACAGAAACACGCAGAAAGAACGTAAGTCTCTGATATGTTAATGACATTGTTTACATTTGAGGTTGTGAAAGCGTTTTATTTAAATAAGTTTCCTTTTCTTTCTTTCTTTTCCAGATATCGCTGAACTAAGGAAAAAGTTTGAGGAGGATAAACAGAGAATAGCTCTGCTGAGGGCACAGAGGAAGTTCAGACCTTACTGAGTCAGCTGCCTGTTTTTTCTTCTCATTTCACTGCTTTTGTGTATTTCAGTTGCATTATAAAGGTTTTATGTTAATAAACTGCTATTCTGACTTTATTTTATGATGATTAAATTTCTCGCTCCTCACATTAATGATAGTAAATCTAGTGAAGCACAGTAAAGCTACAACATGAAGTACGGAAATTTTATAAAACAGCAGTTTAAGACTAATCTCTTTCGCCTGAATTTTAAGATCACAATTTTATGATTTTTGTTCAACTATTTTTATTGTGAAGCACAAGTAGACAATTTTATGACTTCATCAAATTATCAGAGCAGGCGCCAGCAACTTTCTGTGATGACATCATAGATTGATCTTGGTGTATTTCTGCGTGTGTACAGTGTACCCATCTTCAGCCAAATGTCAGAGCTCATCTCAACATCTCAATCCTATAGAGCACCTTTGAGTTGTGCATGAAACAGATCTGCATTGTGGTCGAACATGTCAGTATAGATCAAAATGTCTGAAGCACAGTCATGTCATGCCTTATTTCTTGATATTTTTCAAGAAAAATGGGTTCAGTAATTTATCGAAGTGCAAACAAATACAGTACATGAGGCAATAACAGAGTTTGTTCACGTCTAACAAGCTTAAATCAGTATTTGGTGCGACTACCTTTATTCCCCAACACACTCAGAACTCTCTCGGGCAGCTTTCTTGTTCATTTTTTAAGTAGACTTCAGAAATAGTTCTCCAGACTTCTTGAAAGACATTCAAAGCTCTTCGTTGGAAGTTTGCTGCCTTTATTTCTGTTCTCTATCAGGAGGATCCCACACTGCTTTAATAATGTTGAGGCCCAGGCTCTGGGGAGGCCAATCCATGGCTGGTGGTTTCACTGTGTGTTTTTCTATCCAGCTACACTTTTACGGCATTGGCAGTGTGTTCGGGCTCATTGTCATGCTGTTAATAATTAGTTGGTTTCACATGGAATTGCATTGTGGATCAAAATGTGATGGCCTCACACCATGACAAAGCCTGCTCTGTGTTTTACAGATTGCTATAGACACTTGCATCCCATCAGATCTGCTGTTACTGATTTCCAGTCCAGTTTTTCTGCCATTTGGCTCTCAGCCTTAAGCTCAAAAAACCAAAACAAATGCACATATGGACAAATTGACATTTATTGAGATGCATCTTGTTCGTCACGTGCTCGTTGCATTCTCCTGATGCTTGAACACACAATGAACAGCAGGACCACAAGAAGGCCAGCACCAACACCAGACAGGATGTATACGATCACCTGAAACACTAAGGAAGAGAGGGTGAGAGATTCTATTTAAAGAGTGTCATTCATACTCTTTCATGTAATGATTCTAGTTTGGTGTATTGCTGGATTTACTTTTTTCCCGTTTCATGCAGGGGTCTTTCTCGGCTTCAGTGTTATTCTGGACCAGCTGCAGTGGCCCCAAAGAGACCAGTTGAAGCTGGTGGGGTTGAGATGCGGCCTCTCTTCTCGGCCTCTCCCCCTCAGATGCTTGTGGGAGGACACAGGACAGATTTTTTAAAAATTCCAAAAATAAACAGCACATTAAGTGTACTGTGGTATACTCACAAATGAAGGTACAACGCTGCGCACAGTCAACGTCATTCGTGCAGATTTCCACCCAACAATAGAAGTACATCTGAGTGAGAGAAAACACATAGCCAGGTCTGTGGGGAAAAAAACAAAACGCTGCGTTGCTGAAATATTATAATCTGATGAAACATACTTCCTCTGGACTTGGATGGCCTGTGCTGGGGTCCAAGAAGGCAAAGGTCTTGACATCAAACCTCCTGACTTGTGAGTGAGATGTGGTCTTCCCCTGTTGGTCCACAGGGACAGAGCTTCTCATATTATCCTGAGGATTTGGACATCTGTACAAAAGGGACAAAACTGTGCTGTTATATTTTTAATTTTTGTTTTTTTTAATTGAGGGGTGGGGGTTAATAACGTACCCATCATAGAGAAGTGTCCACACAGAGTGTCTTGACCCAGGATAAGCAAAGCAGTCTCGCACTCGCAGGGAAAGTGTGGGATCTGGAGATGGCTGCACGATGGAAATCTCCACATTCACAGCTTCACGAAGGGGCAAAGTCAGTGGAAGCTGTTCCTCGGGAATAAAGGATGTAAAGGATGCATCTGCAGCAACAAACATATACACATCACCAGCTGTCATTTGCATACAAAGTGCCTTTTCATTCCATTTTAGTACCTGTGGCTATTCTCATTTGCACTCCGATGGACCCCAGTGCAATGACAGGTGGTGGATTAGTCACTGCATACAAAGACCGCAGTTCTGCTGCACGCTTCAGATCAGAGGAGTCGTATTCACACTGGACCTGAAGACTAAAAACCCCAAAACATTCATCACCACCAGTACTGTCTTCTAGAAGAAGATGTATCCATCTCCATACCTAAATTGAGAATTTTTCCCATCATTTCCTGTATGTAGCTCCACCACTTCCACCTCGTAGATCACCACATCTCCATTTGCCTAAAAGCCGGAGAGATTTAAAAAAAATTTAAAAAAAGGTTTAAGAAAAGAAGATGATGTGAAAATTCATGGTGGACCACAGACACATCTAAATGAAAGCTTGTGCTCAATGCTGTGACTGGCTTTGTGTAACTGTGCAAAAATATTAGGATGATACCCCAATCTAAATATTAGATATAATATTTACCTTCCTCTTTGCACCGCAGTCTGAGACTCCTATCTTGAAGACAGCAGTATCTGGGGTTGTGACAACAGGGTGACAGTGCGGCTGATCCTTTACAATGAGGCTGCTGGGATCAATGGGCGTGTGTGCATCTGCAGCGTTTACTGAGAACACAAAGTGTCCGTCCAGAGAGCAGGCTGGATGGAGTCAAACAGGATAATGTTGCATAGTTGTTTTTTGAGTAAAACACAAATTTAAAAACCCAAAAACAAACCCTGTTTTGTCCTCGTCTCTGCATAATTGTCTTTATAACTACATAATGTTGAATACTGCATTAGCATGTATTGAAAGCTCTGCTGCCAACTATAGATGTCATTTTACTGCTCATCAGTGCCAAACATTATTGGTACTGCTTGGTACCTGGTACTCTGTAGTACCAAACATATTTACAGTGGTAACAAGACTGCATTTTGTAATGAAGGCCACGCATATACTGGCAGGAGGTCTGTCCACAGTCAAAATACATAAACCTCTGATTAGGTATCCATTTCTGATATTTCTGATTTCCCTTAAGCCCCCCACACGACTGGTTATTAAGGGGTTAAGAGTCCTAGAAGCAGCCCTGCTTGTTTAGACGAAAGGTTGGAGGGGAAAATACAGATCTTACCATTGAGTGTGTAGTAGCAGGCTGAATCACGAGCATCATAGCAGCAGCCCAGTTTGTAGCAGACATCACTGGAAACCCTTTGGTGGCCACAGTCCACTCGAAGAGCTCTTTCAATGTCACAGTTTCCAGGGAATGCTGGAGAAGAGTTCTGTTTTTAAATGTCTTAGATCGTCACTCTGAACTGTGCAGACTCCTACCCAGTATTGGTAATTACAAGAACAACAAGACAACACTCTAAACTTGGCTCCATAGGGAAATTGTGCCAGGGTGACTTTTGACTGATGAAAAAGGAGAGCTGATTTTAGGTATACAGGACACAACTGGGTCAGTGAGTTTGTCAAGCTCAATCAGCTGTCTCCACTCACGTGTTGGGCGAGGCTGGGTCCTCTCACTTCTTGCCTTTATCAGGGGACAGCTGATGTTGACCCAGATCCATCGATCCTCTCCTGCCAGCTGGACCTGCAGCGGGATGATGACTTTGCTGCCCTGAGGATGAAAGGTTATTGCAGCATGGCTGTCAAGAAGTGACATACATCCAGATTGTAAACTCATTTTTACCTCCATTGGTTTCAATCATTAAAACTTAATAGTAAATATACTATAGTTGCATTATTTTTGGCCCTACTTGGCAATCCCATACATTTCCTTCATGTAAACTCTGCAGCAGGATTCACACCTCAACATGGACAAAGCAGCTGTCATATCTGCTGAAAAACGAGAGGCTCTGGTTCTTCACTCTAGCCACTTGCACTCCACAGGTCTTCTCATACTGAGGCACTGGGACTGTGGCCCCTGTCACGTCTAAGGAAACAAAGCACACACACACATGGTCTGAGATCAATGCAAAAGATGAGGGTCAACTAAATGAACCAAGCATCTTCCTCACATCCCGCTGCCCTATACCTCACCTCTGGCGTACACATTGTTTTTCACCATTGGACCAAACACAGCTCTGATGCCTCGGAGAGAGCAGGTGACTCGCGGCATGGCGAGCTGTTTCCTCTGCTCGAGTGTTTTCTTCCTGTGATCAGAGGAAAGGCAGACGCAGCGCCGAGCCATGACGGTGAAAAGTAAAAGAGTCGCGCAAATCTTTATAAAACGATAATTCATCTCGCTATAGTTTGCAAACTTAACAGCAGAAACATCCTGCCCTATCTAAGGCGCTGGAGACGGTCACGTGACAGCTGTTAATTAGTGTTAATTAATTTAAAGCTATGGCGTTCCTCGGGCTCGGGGACCAGTGCAGTGCAGAGAGTTAAAGGGTGTCGCAGACCTGCTCAGCGTCACCCGCCTGCGCGCACCGAGAGCTACAGAAGCTGACGTGCACGCGGCCACAGAATAAAGCCGGTAATTAATAAAAAAAAGGTCAACGTTTAAATATTAAATATCACACTGAGCGCATGCACGGCCAACTCTATCCTAAGGGGGCCATTAAATGAAAGCATTGCATAACTCGCTGGCCTCACCCCCCTCTCGCTCTCCCCATGGCAAAGCTTGTACCCACCCCAGTTATTATATAAGCAGTCTTAAACCTTTACTCACTGCCATCAGAACACACACTCATCCTGTCAGAATTGCAAGGAAATGCCCATTTTGTTGCTCTATTCCAGCTGTGTTTGCTTTGAAAACATTTTGCTTTGCAATAAATGACCTGATTTTCTGTGCAGGCTTAAATGAAGTTAGTTATCTTAATCCAGACCTAGCTGGACTCCAGCACAGTGCAGCTTTCAAGCTAATTTTAATTTAGCTAAACCTTAATTATCCCATTCAAAGGCTACAGTATAGAAAGTGTAGTACATAGAATCAGGGAGAGATCTCGGCAGTTGCTATAATGATGTTGCCTGCGTGGATATGGTTGTCGTTTTTTCTATTTCCCTTATTGTCAACAAGTTTATATACACCGGGAGAAACAGATATATAGCCAATACAAAAGGGGGCAAATAGAACAACAGCAAAAGAGAAACTGGGAAATAATCGGTTACACTCTATGCATAGTTTTGTATAAATAACCTAATTTTTGTAAATTAATTTGTAATAATTTGCAGGATAAATGTTGTAACTGTAACATTTACTATATTAAAGTAAAAATGTAAAATACCTGGTTAAAAAAAACAGTACTTCTGATTGCATTGCACGTCTACTTCATTGTATTTTGGATGGAAATATAACAGAACATAAAAGCTTGAATTACTTACGCACATTTTGATGTTAAACTGCGTATTAATACAGAGGATTATGCCTTAAATAGCGGCAGTACTTCATGTAGTAATATATCTATATGAGGGAGCAGGGCAGCTCACGAGTTTCTCCATCTGTGCTTTCCCTTGTATAATATCCCGGAAACACCCTTCATAATATGTAACTATATTATTTCAAATTATCAATAAAATGATGAACAGTTGGCTTGATTCACTTGTTTGTATATGTAACATTCAAACAATAGCTAATTATTAACTCTGTAATATTATTCTATTTTATCTACAGAATTCCTACATTAAATTACACTAAAAAGTAAAAGGAGTGGAAAAATAGGTGAATTAAAAACTACACGTTAGCAAAAAAGTAACAACCAAAGCACCCCCCCTCCCCTCCCCGATGAGCTAGCAAAGAATTAGTAAATGATAACGGATAGGAACAACAACAAAAACCAAACCAACAAAACAAAACAAGACAAATAAAAAAACAAACAAACAAAAAAACCAGTGGATTTTCAGAGATAAAACTAAATGAATACGAACAAATCCAGTCTGGAAATTAACTGAAACTAAGTAAGAAAATAAATAATTAAATAAATAAATAAAGGAATTTCTTAGTAAAGGAATTAATAAATAAAATAAGATAAAATATATTAAAACTTGACGGAAAAAGACTGTGATAACTTGGAATCAAATTATTCATTTCATCGTCAAATTTACTCGATTATTTATAATTTACATTATTAGAAAAAAATGTTACACCTATCCAAAACGGATGGGTGGCGGGGAAAATACGTTGGGAAAAACAATCCAGCGTAAACACACGTTTATTCAGAAACCATTCTGAATATTTCTAACTTTTACTGGGATCGTGTGAGACACTTCTTCTGTTTGATCGTGTGGATATTGTTTACAGTCCCACGGCAGGTCACGAGTTGTCAGACGGCGTGGTGACGTAAGGCTCGTGACGTTTCTGGGTGATTCCCGTCAGGCTGATAGACTGGCTTTAGCATTAAGCATAGGCAACAGGAGAGCGTAGGACGGCTCGTAAACATGGCTTTGAATCGAAATCATACGCATAACGGCAACGTGTTGATAAACAACGGAGAGAGGTGAGGGTATTACCTAGTGTCAGGGTGTTTAATTGTATTAACTAGCTAACTGTCGCCTCTGTTTTCGGCTTGTTTACCTTTTACTTTCCAATGCGTAGTCAACTCAATGCTATCCAACTGCTAGCTTCCAGCTAGCTGGCCTAGGTAATGTTAGCATTAGCTGTTTTATTGTTTACTGTATATTTCAGGGCGTTGTGTATTTTGTGTGCTCTTTTAACGGCGAGACATTTAATGGCCTTACTTTAAAATCGTTGCATAATGTGGTTTAAGCAAGATGCGTTAGCAGACTATCCAAACAGGAAGTTTTGGCAGCATTTTTTGTCAGGATGTTGAAATCTTGTAAAACACAAATGTCTTCCCATTGCATGTTTCGTAAAGCAATTTTTTTTCTAGCTGCTGCGAAATACAATTTCTACATGTTAGCATACTTTTTAGCTCCTTTATAGTTACTGTAAGCAGTGACCTAATTTTCATTTGCCTCATCTTTATCCAGTGTTTTAAGGGAGTGCAAGAATGTGGAGCTGTCATTCAGTGATGTCACCTGCAAGACAGATCTGCTGAAGGGGACCAAGAAGGGCACGGTGTACCTCACACCATACAGGGTACTACCCAAATTATCAATAAACAAAAGATTCCTGTGATGTTTACGGCTGCTTTTCATGTGCTCGTGTATCCTTATGTAACTCATCTTTTTGCCTCATCTCTTGTTCACCGGCTCAGTTGGTGTTTGTATCCAGTAACACCAAGGACTGCCTGGGTTCAGCCATGTTCCCCTATTACCTGATGAAGGGCTGCAGCATTGAGCAGCCAGTCTTTGCAGCCAACTACATTAAAGGGACAGTGTCTGCTGAGCCCGGTGGTAGGAAGCCTTTTGCTTTTACACTTAGTCACAATCATTTGATTGTCTGTCTCTAAAACAATCTCATATGAACCCATATTAGTGAAAACTGTGGTGTATTAGTTTCAGAACTTTACTTTGCTTAAAAAAGGCAGCTTTCTGTATTTGCTCTAAAGGGAATTGACTTTTTAATCAGGTGGCTGGGAGGGTCAGGCACATTTCAAGATGTCATTCCCCAGTGGAGGAGCCATAGAGTTGGGACAGCATCTCTTCAAACTGGCCACAAATGGTTCGTATGCCATTTTAATTCAGTACCTTTTCTTTATAACCAGGAAACACGTGTTAAGGTAGCTAAACCCTTTACCAAAGTAGCAGTCCTACTATATTAAAAACATGGTACAGTTGCAGTAAAAAAACAAAAACTTTAAAGATTAAACGCTTTATAGAAATAAAGGAAATTACGATACAGATAACTCTGTGTCTTCTGGAGTCTTTGGAAAGTCACTTTTATTCTTTCTGTGCTCCAGCTTCTCGTGGCGCTCCGGTGCAGAATGGAGCTGCTGCCTACGGTTACCCTTCACCTGGTATGATGAATGGCTATGGCCAACCTCCACCTGCTCCTCAGGGCTATCCCTACCCACCACCTCCCCAGCAGAATGGCTTCTACCAGGGGCCTCCCCCTGCTGCTGGGAACATGCCCTACTCTTATCCACCACCTGCTGCTGCAGGTACACAGTCTCGCTGTCTGTAGGTCTATTTTTAAATGTCTGATTCAACTGAAGACCAGCAGCAACATAAGTAGGGATTTTTAAAATCTAGCTTATAGTCAGTGCAGTTGTAACTCCAGGTTCTGCATTTTATTTTGTAGATTTCTTTCACTTTCTTTTTTCCTTTCTTCCTCATAATCAATAAAAGTGCTTATAGTTTGTAGCCTTGTTTTCTTGCATCTGTATGTAAGCGCACTTTTTTTTTGCCTCTTTGCACACAGTTAAAAATGTGCACCCTCGAGGCGCAAATCATGCTGTCCCTCTCTCTCTGTCAGTGTCCTGTTTTTTTTCTTTATCTTTTTTATTGTGTAAATAATTGTACAAACAGGCTGCAACCCCCTGTGACCTTCAAACTGCATCTTTAAAAAAAAAAAAAATTCTGTTGGCCATCTGTGTTCCAGGAATGTACCCATCTGGTTTTGACTACATGGCCCCTCCTCCCCCGTACCCTGGGCCACCACAAAACTGGGCTGCACCCTCTCAGAACTGGACAGCACCACCACCACAACCACCTCCAGGTCTGTTTCTCTCACTCTCCTTTTTTCACTCACTCCCTATTTTTTTTTTCTTCCTCTGTGCCACTGCACTTGTCAGATCGGATCTGTCTGCCTCAACATGAATCACTTCAAAGCACGCCATTAAAAAAGAAAAAAGGGGGGTGCTGATGTCTCCTTCTCTACAGATAAAAATGTCAAGGAATAAAACAGTCTTCTCGCCCTCATGTTGTTGTTTTTCTAGCAACTTTGGGGATTTTCGGTTAAAAACAGCGTCACCTTCTGTGCATCAGTCTGTGCTTCATCACCTTGTGCCAATAGATTTTTCTAGGTTTGAGGATCTTAGAAGTTTTCAGTTGCGCTTCATGTGACTACTAAAGCATTCTTCTGTGCATCTTTTCTCATTACAGTGTTAGGAACTGTTCTAGAGTATGTTCTGCGGTCATTACTCAGTCTTCATCTCCCTGTTTTTTGCCATTTTATGCACAGGTAACGCCAAGGCGGCTGAAGCAGCAGGCAGCGCATATTACAATCCCAGCAATCCACACAATGTCTACATGCCCATGGTAAGCTGCTTTGGATGTCTTTACCTCAGCAACATGTGACTTTTTCTTTAATGGCATTTTAATCATATTAAACCATCTTCTGGGTTTGCGTGCAGGAGCGACCTCCACCATACGCACCTTCTTCAAACTTCCCTGAAAAGAAAAACAACTGAAACGTGGGCAACGTCACTTCCAAGACACTCCTCTCTCGCATCCTCTGTATCCTAAATAAATTCTAAAGTGAGGTTTTTCTTTTTTCTTTTTGTAGACTGCAATAAGGTAATGCAATTAATATAGCGGTTAAAAAGATGTCAATTAAAATTTCCCAATGAGAGATTGTTTTTTAAATTTTTTTGGGAAGGACTATAAATGGAACAGCTAATGACGTTTTAGTGTTTTCCATATTACATCAAGTCATTTAAATGGTGGACAACTTGTAAAGCAACAGTTGGGATTCATTTTTTTCTGTCTGATTCTTCAGCACCTACGCAGGGACTCGTGCAGTGTCCCAGCTGGAAAGGGGGGGGGGAGGATTTGGAGAATGTATTTTTAAAGACAGATTTGTTACCAAAACATTTTGTAGCCGTTTATTGATTGCAGTTCATGTAATTATTAATAATATTAGCTTCTACTAAGAACAGTTATGTATGATTGCAAGTGCATTGTGTTTCCCCATTATAGCTTTGTAGTCATTTCCCACATAAAAAAACTAGAACTGTGTTCATTTATGTTCAGCGACACAATAACTGACTGATTCTCATACTATGGCTCGCACAGACACGCAGACTGGTGACCAGTATGATCCTGTACTCAGTCTAAGTAACTTCATTCATGGTATGACCTTAAACTCCCAGTTCTAATTGAGTATCTTTACAGGGTGGTTATCAAAAAGAGTTGCGTAATGTTCAGAAAGCTGTTCAGAAAGATTTCTTATGAAACGAGTCTGTGTATGTGCAATATTTCAGCCTTGCATAACGGCGTTACAGGTCACCTGCGGGGTTATCTGAATGACCTTGTGTGCTGTACTCTGAGCTTCTGTTGTGTTGTGCAGAGCCAAGCTGAAACCAGAGCTCTTCTCCTTCAGTAATTAACCTAGTGTGAGGTTACAGGTTGCACTGATTTAAGGCTCACCAGTATTTTGCCTGCAGGTGAAGCTTCTGAGTGCAGACTGTTATCCCTGATTCTGCTCAGTGTGCATCATTTAGCACCCGTTTGAAGGTCTTTTTGCGCATAGTTGTGGTGGTTAGAGGTTTGTTTTGTTTTTTTAGGTAGATTTAATCAAATGCCTGTATATTAACATCTCTTTTCTTATTCTTTTTGCTGAATTTGTCAAAAATCTAATAAATGTCAATTATTAAATTTCCCCCGTTTTTGTCTTCAGTCATTTTTAAACAGTCAGTTATTTATGACATGTTTATGTCATAGATCTTAAATCAAATAGAGCCTCAGACAAACAAAAAGAAATTTTACAGAGTATCATTTTTTTACAGGGAGTGCAGAATTATTAGGCAAATGAGTATTTTGTCCACATCATCCTCTTCATGCATGTTGTCTTACTCCAAGCTGTATAGGCTTGAAA